GGTTGGCAGGAGGTGGGGGAGGAGGAGGATGGCAGCATGGTCTCCATAGGGAAAATGAGTTCCTGAACCTGTCACAGGTCAGTTAGCACAGGGACCTGTAGCAGACAGAACTTTTATGGATTTAGGAAAGCTTTGACAAGGCTCTGCCGTGACGTCTATAAAAACTGTTACTATGGGATGGAAGAAATACCTGGCCAGGAATCGGAAAACTGACTAAAATCCAAAGGTAGGAGACCAGGGCCACTTCTCGGGTCAAGAGGTTTGAAGAGCTCTCCTTGGAGATGAGACAAGCAGCCTCCGAAGGCCGGCTGGCCAGACGTCACCTCCCTAGGCTCGTCAGCAGTGCGTTCAGGAGGGAAACTGCCTGACCTTTGGGAGTAAGCTGCTGAAGGCTCTTATTAGGCTCTGTGAGTGGAGAGACACGATAGATAAGCTACTTTGTGAGCCGGAATATATGTACTGTCTTCAGGGGGGAATAGTCCAAGCTCTTCTGAAAAGGTAAACTGTTAGAATCCAGGACAAGGTCCCGGAAGCCACTGACTATTGGAAAAGTTAGCCCAGCGGGCCCGTACCCCAAGAGGCCAGCACCCCAACTGGGCAGATAGGACAGCACGAAACAAAGCTCCAGACCCTGGGCCGTCCCCACTTGCAGCAGCTCATGGAGTTTCTGGTGGTTTTGTTGAGAAACAGAAAACTAGTGGTTGAATAGCAGAGAATGAATCAAGTAGTCATGGCGATGAGAGGCTCTGTGAGCTGGACCACAGAGCCATGGGTGTTTCTGTGTAGAGAATGGAACGGTGTGCTGTGATGAGCCAATGTGAATTGCACCAAATACGAGAACATACCACTTGAAGCCAGAAAGAAGTAACGGAAGGGCAAATGAAAGAAAGCGCTGTGTAGATACAGTTTTCCTGAACGAGAGCTCTAAGGTGGTAGGAGGTGTGAACAGGCGTAAGGACGGTGTGGGCAGTGAAGGCCCCGTCCAGAGCTGCAGTCCGGGGGCCATGCCACCCACCTCGTGCAGAGACTCAGAGAGGCCAGCCCTCTCTTCAGAGTGGTCCTGGGAGCATGTCTCCCGTGGGGGAGGGGGCTGACTGGTGGAATGCCCCATCAGCACATCTTACTCTGCTGTATTTTCTCTCTTCGAGGTACATGCAGGTACATGCTTTAAAACTGACTAGCAATGGGTATTGGAAAAGGTTTCTCGGTCTGAAGATGTTTGTGTATCTGTTTACATCCGGAGTTCTGTGACACATGCCTCTGCCTCTCCCCCCCCCCCCCCCCCCCAATGCAAAGGAACTGATTGCACTTGATTAAGCTTTTTTCTAGGATGAAAGAACCAGTTGAGGTCGGGGCCTGGCCCCTAGGCTGCTGCTGTGACCCTTGTCCCTGGTGGCTCGTTTCTGCGTCCATGACTGACGTGCCCAGGGAGAGCGGGGCTCCGTCTTTCCCAGGCCGTCCCGCAGTCTGTACAGGCCCGTCTGAGAAGGGTGGCTGCGGCTGCATGGGAACCTGCGCCCATGACTGCTTTTGGCCTTGAAATGAGTTAATGAAGGCAGAGGACTTTTCTCCCTCCTTCCCTTCCCAGTGCCACAAAATCGTCCTTCCTCCGGGCTCAGTAGGCTGTTGGACCATTTTAGAGGAGACCCCTGAGAGCTTGAGACCCTCCCAGACCAACCCCCTCCTCCCTATACAGTGTTTGGACAGAGGGTGCGACGCTGCTCGGCGCAGCAGACACTCTGGCTTACCGAGGAGGCAGCCGGCGTTTTGCACAGGAAGAATCAGTGATCACTTGAGAAGACGTCTGTGGGCCATAAGGACGTTGTTATGGAGAAACAGATTTCGCTGACATAAATCTAGTTCTTAACTTAATCATGGATCAAGCGTATCTGGCTGACTTGCAGTTTAAAGGGGTCCCATCAATGAAAAACAGATTTTTTTTAAACTGACTGCTTTTAGTTAAACTTTAAAAAGTCATCTTGTCAGAAAGTTTAAACCTTCCCGCCTTGATCTTAAAAGCATGTCACACGATCCACATCAGATGCCATGAACATGAACTGCAAGAGAAAATGGTACAATCTTAGTGAGTGGGGATTGGAATCACGAGGGTTTGCTGTCCTAGAATGTTCTAAAATGTCAAGGCAGTTGCTTGTGTTTAACTGTGAACAAATAAAAATTTATCGTTTTGCACTACTCTGCTGTGTTGCCACAAAGTGACTCCTGTCGGCCTCTGAGGGGTTTCTAGTCAGAGTAGGGACTGGTCCAAGATGGAAAAACCTCAGGGTCTGGGTTGGTTGGTGACCTCGGGTGGCGGGAGGGGCGTGCTGACAAGTGGAACCTGGCTTTAGTCTCTAAGATCCTTTTTGTTCTGCCCGAACATCTGGCAGGCAGCCATGAGGCCTGACTGATCCGCCTCAAATTCATGCCCTTCCCCCATGGCCTGGTGGTGTGGGAGGGGAGACTGGTCCTGGCTCCCAGAAAGCTCTCCAACGCAGGCGTCTTGCCGGGTCTGCACCGCCATCCGGCCTTGCTTTTCGTGCGTGCTGGCGTTCCTAGGGGTCGGCCAGCTCGATGTTGGAGCCCAAGTGACACTGAACTTGTCAAGAGCTGACCTACTGTGAGCCTTGCCGGATGTGTTTTGTGAGTGAGTCAGGGAAAAGGTGCAGCTGGCATCCGGCACCTTCCCTGTGCTGCCAGGCGTTTGGAAGGAGGCAGGCCTCCTGCCTCGCCACCATCACTAGACAACCCTGGCCTCCCATCTCTTGCTGGGGATGCACTGGGAGAGAAACACACCAAGAGCACCATTTGCAATGTGGTTTTCAGTTACTCCCTGGAAATCGGTAAACTTGGCCCATTCAAAGACTCAGAGGTGGCAGCTTGGAATTGTCTGCGAAATCCAGGCTCTCGCGTCTGAGCAGGTCTCACACACGAGGGGTTACTTTGCCCGCTTGCTGTGGGTGTTTGGCAGGGCCTTTGAAGCGGGTTTTCTGGAGCAGCGCGTACTCCTGTTTGAAGCAGCTGCCCTGTGCTAGTGGTTCCGCGGTGAGGCTGCTGCCCAGTGGTCTCTGATGTCTTAGGACAAATGTGCTTTTCTTTAAGGGATACACCCCAGGAAACCAAGCCAGGCAGTGGTGGTAGAACAGTTTTATTCTTGACTGTTGCCCCCGAGGAAGCAAGAATACAGAAGCTAAGTCGCCCCCTGTGAAGGGAAAAACCAAAAGTCAGATAGCACTTGTGGCACACTCACGAGCCAGTGACACATCTCACAATCCCAGGCCTCTCAGGCTGTGCAAACCAGGTCATCGTCTTTGTACAGGAGCCACAATCAGAGTTCCTCAGTCTCCCTGTCCCAAGTACAGGACAGGAGAGGCGGCCCGTTCCCTCGGGCTGCAGTGTGGAGACTGGGTCACACTGAGGACGGTCCCGTGCTGACCCGCCGCGGCCTGCGCGGTGGGAGCAGCCCGTCTTGCACGGACATGCGCCTTGCCCACGGCTGCCGCTGCGGCCTCCTCCGGCTGGATGGTTCCGCCTGGAAAGCTGGGTGCTGGGCGGGCCTGGCCGAGTGGTGGTGGGAGCCCTAAGGAGACCTGGGCCAGGCAGGCAGTGCCCTTGCTCCTTCCCAGCCTCCCCGACACCCTCTTCGTGGGCACAGAGCCTGCTGCTCGGAGGCGAGGGGAAGTGAGATGCTGAAGCAGGAGGGAGAGAGAGGTTCTCAGGAATAACGGGGCGGCCCCTGTGAGGTTGAGTGGCAGGGCTGTGGCGTCAATCAAAATGGATGGGCCTGTGGAAACCATGTTAGTAACGGTGCCCCAGGCGGTGGCACTGGCCACCAGCACGGCACTGGTCTTGAGTTACAGTTTCCCACCAGGCGGTCTCCAGGGAGGTTTTGGACATCCTCTGTCTCTCCCCCCAGGTTTGAGGCTGTCTTTTCTAAGCTGCCTACACTGGTGTTTTCCTGACCCAGGCCGGGTGCCTGTGGTCTGGGAGAGGCGAGCGGCCCCCGCAGTGGCTTCTGGGCGTGGCTCAGGCTCACTCACATGCAGCGCTTTACGGGGCAGCTTCTCCGAGTGGGCCACCCATTCTTTCATTAAGTCCAGGATGATGGGGATGAGGCTGACCACGCCTCCGTAGTGGTTCCGGGCCTCGTCACAGCTGAGGTGGTTCACCACGTCATGAGGGTATCTGTAGGGTGGGGAGAGGGGACCGGGTGAGCCCCCACTCCTGGGACGCGCCACGACTTCCAGACCTCGGGCAGGGGAGCCCTACTCCTGACCACACATCGAATCCCCTGGGGAGGTTTCAGAACTGTGGCCGCACAGTGCCAGGCTCCCTGTTCCGGACACTGTGGGTCGGCAGGTTTAGGGTTCAAGGGCCCCCCGGAAACCCTGGGGTGAAAGTTCTGTAGAAACCTGGGTGAGGGGCTGTGGAAACCTGCTGTGATAGCTCAAAAACACGCTGCTTAGTCCCCTCGACGTTTCTTGCCAGAACAGTAAACAGCTTCCTTGAGAATGCGGTACTTTGCGCTATGGATTCGCCAGGGCCCTGAAGTAGGGAACCCCACTGGCTCCAGACACCCCGCTGCTTTGTAGGCTTCTGGAAACCACTGCTCTATGAACCCCTCCCTGTGCCTGGGCCTCAGGGTCCCTGGTTTTCACTAACATGTTTTGGTGGGTCAGAGTCATTCCAATAAACCAGTGGGCCTAGGGTCACCCAGCGGCTTCATCAGTCCACGGGCAGAGGCGCCTCCTGCGGGTCTCTGCCCCCTCCCCACCTGCACACACACCGAGGCCTCAGGAGCTGGGCCAGAGGGACTCACTTGGCTCTCAGGCTGCTCAGGTCGTTGCTCTGGCTCACGAGGGTTTTGCATTTCTCCAGGAGGTTGTTGGTGACCGGCGTGCCCGAGTGCAGGGCCTCGAAGCACTGACAGAGCTTGCTCAGCTCAGCGCACGTGTCCAGGAACATGAGCAGGATACGCCTGTCTGTGGAGTTGTTGCAGTGGTGATCCGCGTAGTTCTGGACCTGCAGGGACAGTGTGACGCCACTGTGACATCAGCTGGGAGGCACCAGCCGTGGCCCGGCTGCTTCCTGGGGCAAACACCGCGGAGCACCCACCACCCTGCCTGTCCCAGCCTCCCAGAGTCGAGATGCCAGTAACGTTTGCTCATTTCAACGTACAGGCCACTACGTAGGGCTAACGCCATCCAGTGTCCTGGGCACCACGCAAAATGCTTTGCAGGCCCATCGCACTCCGTCCTCACCTAAACCCCACACGCTGAGTAGCTTTTAAATCTGCATTTCACAGGTGAATGCCAGAGGCTCAGAGAGGTGACGTCACCTGCTTGGGCACCACCACCAGCGCAGCGGCTCTGAGCCCGTACCTGTCACCAGTCCCCATGTACCTAAGTCGATGCCTAAAGCAAGGAGGGCTGGTCCCCAGCTCTTCAGGCCACCGTCCCACTTAGAGGACTGCTGGGTGAGGCCACTTGGGCTGAGGAGCAAACAGAAGGAACTAGAATCCTTTGCAGTACTGTCCCGTGTGTCCAAGGCAGACAAAGGACGGACACGTCAGTCAGTGGAGCTGGAGGAAACGATTATCCCTATGAGAAAAAAAAGTCTCTACCTCGTCCCACAGACAAACATCACCTCTGGGAGGATGAAGCGCTTAAATGCCAAAACCACAGTAAACCTCCGAGGTGAGCATATCATGGACGCGGGACTAGGGAAACCTTTCTTTTTTTTTTTTTTTTT